TCATATATGATTCTCTCTCTATATATTCTATATAAAGAGATAGATATATATACACATATTACATAAATCATCCTAATTTTGCACATATGCATATACCAAAATGTCAATGGTGATTATTTCTGGCAGGTAGGATTATGGGCTGTTTTTATTTTCTTCTTAAGGCTTTCATATATTCCAGTATTTAGGGATTACTACCAGAATCATATCACATCAGAAGGCATATAATGTCAGTTTTTCATGGCTAAGGATGCTAAGTTTGGCCACCTGGTTAAAGCAATGTCCTCTAAGCTCTTCACAGTAAAGGTAACTTTTCCTCTTTGCTAACTATCTTCAGGGTGACACTTACTTGAAAACATCCGCATATCCTGTTTGCCTACAATTCATTACTCTATGTGAGCAGCATCCATTAATGATCCTGGTCAGAGGCAGTTATTTCATTGAGGGTTACACAATGACTATTTCCTACTACATTTATCAGCTGACATTCTTCTGTGAAGATGAGCTTCCCCCTCCCACACTTCTAGTGGACTGTGGACTGATGGGTTTCTCCTCCTCCTTCTTGTTGTTATTTTTGACTCCTGCATTTATTATTATTGCCATTATTATCATTCTTCAGTGTGTTATAACTGAAGGGTGGATAACTGAAGGGTGAATAACCCATTGTATTCTTCTTAACGTTCAAATTCTCCCAAATGTGACTGGTGGGTTTCCTTTCAAGCCAGTTCCTGTGTCTCCATTCTTTGAGCACCCTCCCACATTCTGTAGCAGCTCCTCTTGCCCCAAATGTGGATTTCGCCACCTCTCCAAGAATCCCTGATTTCTATTAGGGAGTACTGGTTATTTAGAAACCAAGATCTGAGTGCTAAATGTGTTCACTGTTACCAGGTGTCATTGCTTCTAGGCCCTTTCAGTGAAAAGAGCCAGGAAACTGGAAAATATAAACACAAATGTGTGTGTGTGTGGTGGGGGAGGGGGGTCATGAGTTCATATCCATACCTCCAATTCAGTACAACATCACGTAGTTCTTTGTCTTTTCCCCTGCTCCATATTTGTATCCTCCTACTTCCACAGTGAGAACCCTGGTTCCCAACATCAATATAATTACTTATCTATTCTACCCCACAATATACCCCGGTTTCAGATTACTACACCAAAACTAGTCCTGAGTCTGTGTTATTAACACTATTGCAGTTAGTTTTCTCTGCCCTTCAGGATGATAATCTGTCAACCATTCATTCCCTTAAATAATTATTTAATTCATAATAGCAAATTCCTTTCATCTTCTGTCCAAAATTAAAAGTAACTTCAGGGGCGCCTGGGTGGCTCAGTCAGTCTGATTTCAGCTTAGGTCATAATCTCACGGTTCGTGGGCTCCAGCCCTGCATCCAGCTCTCTGCTGTCAGCACAGAACTTACTTTGGATCCTCTGTCCCCCACTACCCGCCCCCTCAGCTCTGCCTGCACTCTCTCTCTCTCTGTGTCTCTCTTAAAATAAATAAACTTAAAAATAAATAAATAAAAGTAAGTCTGATGTCAGCTGGTACAACCTTGCCAGCTATTAGATTTAGAGGTCTAAATCTAATTCCATGACCTAGGTGGAAAGCCAACAGTGGGGCTTCTGCCAACTCCTGGTGGTTTGTTTCCTCAGGTCTGATCCTGGACACACTGCACCCTGACAAGAGACTCCTAGCCCCTCAAGATCTTCCCAAATAATCTACTCCTGCAGAGATTTCATGAACCAGGCAGACTTTACTGACAACTTTCCAGGAACAGGCAGAGGGGACAAAAGTACACCATGTCAACAAATTTCACAACCCAGGAGGCATGAGCAGTCTCAGGAGGGCCCCAGCCACTGGCCTCTCAGCTCATCCCGGATGCTTGCTCTCCTTTCCGCTGTTTCTCCCTCTTCTTCCTTCTCTCTCCCCTCTCTTGGCACGATCAAAAAGGACAATTCTTCCCCCTGCATCAAGCAGACAAACGTCTTCCTCCTCTGAAGCCTTGCTCAAGACATTCTTATGACAAAGACAGCCTTCTTCCTACAGTGAATAAAATGTCCTCTGCCTCATCACACACATAAGGATTGGGATCTTTTTAAAGGTTGGTCAGTTATAAATGTCAAACAAATTGCTGCAAAACTCTCTCAAGAGGAGTCTATCCATCGACTCGGCTAATGCCTCTCAGAACCAAGTCACCAGACAGCTCACACTGCCCAGGATCTTTCTACCTCAAGAACCTCCAGCTTCCAGAACTACCTCCTCATGTCTCCACAAACCTATTACTCTCACAGGCAAAGAGACCTGTCTAGGTCTCTTCCAGAACACAATCCCTCCCAGAACACCAGCAAAAAGCCCTGGGAGAGAAACAGTGCTCTGTAGGCATGAACCATGGTCTGTGGACTGAGCTCGGCAGAGGGGAGAGTGGCCCTTCTGGTAGTGCCACAGTTCCTGGGGGAGAGCATCAGGTAAGAGACTCTCCTCTCAGCTTCTAATTTCTCATTGCTTCCATGCAGATGGCCTTGCTAAGCAACCTGCATGGACCAGAGCCAGTGAAGGCCTGGATACCCCACTCAGAGTTTTTAGGGCTTAGAAGATGATCTTCTGTGGGCAAAAACTTTCCAAAAGGCCAGCATGTAGTGTTGGAAAACAGTCCCCAACTGGGACGTAGCAGGGAGGGAGGTGTGGGTCTTTCTGGGAAGCCTTTCAGAATCTTTGATGAGGGGAGGAGGACAGGTGAATTTTGAAAACTATTCCAAAATTACTGTTGTACTGGTTATTTTCCAGTCAGTAAATAGGTAGCTTTGACAGGTGAGTTGCTGACAGGGGAAACAGGTCAAAAATGGTTTAGTGATGTACGGGAATATTGTGGCCTTTCAAAATGCAAGAAAGATGTGGCACCAGGAGGAGAGTGGGAAATGAAATGGTCTGGGAACGAGAAGAGGGTGGACTGGAGAGGAAGGAGGGTGTGGGTCCCCTGGCACAGCTGGCATGCTGCCCTGTAGCTGCCCATCTATCCCCAAAGCCCCCGCCTCCTCATGGTAATCTGGGGAGCACGAAGTACCTCCTGACCTTCTGTCGTCCTCCACCATTTCTCAATGTGTCTCAAACCCATCATTAGCACTCCTACCCTTTGAGTTAAGCACTGGCCTCTGCAGCCTTCTCCGTCAAGCAGGTGGCATTTTCGTTGGGATTCATGTTACAATTATCCGGTTTTGTGCTATTCTGGAGCTTTCTAGAAAGTCACATCACCTAGGCTAGGTAAGTAGTTTCTCTAGCTTGGTGATTTCCAAATTTTTGTGTAGTCCTATTGATTACTCCTCAGGAGAATCCAGACAGAGCCCAGAGTATAGCAGCCCTGTGCTTTCGAGGCGGTAGACCCAGAGGGGCAGGTAAAGTCAGCCAGTAAAATACTGGAGCCCTTTGTTCTCACTGACATGTTGTTGGAAAGCACACAACAGGGTAATTCTCACATTTAGTGATACTGGACCGAATCCCCCACTGGAGATGGTTCTAAGCCCAGGTGCCCAGAAGGCCTTGTGCTTCTTTTCATCATGGCTTTTACCTCCCAGAGGGATCAAGTCCAGGGCAGAAGCAATCCAATGCTCAACACAGAGAAGACGTGCAGAGAAGTGCACAACTCAAGGCTCAAGACCTTCCTCGGGATAGGTGGGGTCCCGGTGCGGGAGCTCAAGCCTTCTGCCAGCTGAGTAATCTTGGGATTATTACCTGAACGGGATACAAACTGGCTAAGAATAAGGGTTCCGGAGACAAGCTTACCTGGGTTCATACACTGGCTCCACCACTGGCTAGCACCATGTGCATGAGATTTAACTTCTGTCTGTTTCCTCATCTGTAAAATGGAACTTAGAATAACATCTACCTCGTAGGGATGCTTTGAGTTAATCTGATGAGCTAACGCATGTAAACGGCTTAACACACTGCCCTGCTCACAGTTAAGGGCTTAACAAATATTTGCTTTTTTATATGTGCATGCATTGCTACACACATACAAAGGCTATTAAGACATATGATGGGTAAAATAGACTTGGCGATAAATTTAAATGTGATGATACCACATGTTGGTGAGGATGTGGAACCACTGGGACATTGCAGATGGGATGTTAAATGTAAAGCCACTCTCAACAATGGTTTGGCAGCTTCCTATGAAGAGAAACATACACTTACCACACTTACCATATGAACTAGCACTCCATTCCTAGTTACTTACTCAAGAGAAATGAAAACATACGTCCACACAAAGAATGCTCATGGTATATTATCTACAATAGCTCCAAGCTGGAAACAGCCCAAGTGTTCATCAACAAGTGGATGGATACACACATTCTGGAACATCCTCTCAGTGGAATACTACTCAGCAATAAGAAGTCATGAACCACTGATACACACACGGCAACGTGGATGAATCTCGAAAACATTACGCTTCGGAAAAGAAGCCAGACACACAAGGCTACGTGCTGTAGTATTCCATTTATATGGCATTTTAAACAAGAAAACAATACAGACAGAAAACAGACGAGTGGTTGCCAGAGGCTGGCAGGAACGAGGGAGATCAACTTTACAAACGGGCACGAGCGAACATTTTAGGGTGATTGGGAGCATCCTACAGCTTCATGGTGGTGGTAGATACATGACTGAACCTGTTTGTTGAAACGCAGAATGGTACACATGCAAAAGGTAAACTATACCTTAACAAACCTGACATTACCTACGACAGGAGGGGGCTGGGTAGGGAGAGTACATAAAGGATACTTTCTCATTTAAACACACCTGTGCCATGTGAACTTTTCTAATGAGCATGTCATTTATGTGCTGGGTAATAACTTTATTAGAGTTGGAAATAATAACGATGCGATATATCTACCTTGAAGGGATGTTGTAAAATGCAAACGGAATGAGACAATGTGTATAAAGCATACACACAAGTGACCCATGGATCTTCTAAAGGGGCCAGGGGCCTCTACTGAGAGTGACATCCAGGACTTACCTCAGTGACAAAGAGTGTGCGAGGATCAATGATATCCAAGAAGTGCCTGAAGCGGCCATAGAAGGATGTCTGGGGAAGGAGGTGGGAGAGGAGAGCAGGTCAGCCGCTGGAGATCATCCTCTAAACCCCATGGACCACACCCCACAGCCTACACTTATTATTGGGGTCCCACAGTCCCCAGGACTCCCCATGTGATGAGTGCCAATGAGACCTTGCTTCTCAGTGACCTGAGGGCCTCCCAGGTCTGAAGTCTTTCTAAAGTCAACCCATAAGGACCATTAAGACACTCAATGACTGTCTCAGCTGCTCTTCAAAAATGCCTCGCATTTTCCTCTCACTTCCCCGAATTCCCTGAGATCCACTCCCAGCTTCCCACTGCTCCCAAGCACCCATGAGCACACAGGCTAAAGGTGAGACCTGGGCCGAGCCCTCTCCTGGCCTTCCCTGTCCACCACAGCCTCCCTGCCTTGCTTTGGACGTCTCCAGTGAAGGAGGGTCCCTCTCCAAGGTCCAGCTCAGGCTCTGTCCCCGAGGAAATCTCTCCACAGGCAAAGCTCAGGCATGACAGTGCCCAGCTCACTCCCCTCAAGCCCTCCTATACCCATAGCCCTGGAGCTGCTGTGAGGCTCAGGACAGGGCCTGCCTGCCCTGGCCTCACCCCAGAGCAGGGGCCCCAGAAAAGCAGGGCTTTGTGCAAAGCAGGCCACAGGCATTAGCGCACAATGAAAGGAAACCAGGCAACAGGCACCACTGCTCCTGGGCCCTCTGCCTTAGGGAAAAAGCCAAGCTCAATGGGAGGTGAGAAGATGCCAAGCTGGAGGACAAAGGGGAAGCCACAAATACCGGGGGTTGGTGCCTCACTACACTCCAGGCTCTACCCCAAATCTGCACTGGAGCCTCACCGCTCCCCCAGCACCGTCCTCTGCATGGTGAAGGAAGCAGATACCTCCACACTCCCTCCCTCCCTCCCCTTGCTCATTAGGACACCAGATCCTATAGCCACCTCCTGCTCCTTACCCTTCCTAATAAAGTCCTGCAATAGTCCCCTGAAAGTCCCCTGCGCACACCAGGCCCCATGCTGCCTCCATCTCTCTGCTTGCTGTGATGCCCCCTGCATGGAGGACCCTCTCCACCTCCTACATCCACCCCCACTGAGGCGCTGCCGTTCACAGAGCAGGTCAAGCTTCGGCACTGTTCCTAACTAAAACGGTTGCTTCTCGGACCTCTTATAACTCAAATGGTCTCAACCATTTTCCCCACTTGTACATAATGCTCACACTGTTGTCCTGGCAAAATTTCCCCTCTAAGTATCTAGTCTCAGGAAACAGAGACGTTCAGAGGTGCGGTAAGATGTGAATGCTGAGGGTGCTCACCGCTGCAGTATTTGCAAAGGTGGATGATGAGCAAATAACAGTCCTATCGCATGATTGAACACTCTACAGCCATTTGAAATGTTCTTGGACATTTATGACATGAAAATAGGCTACTGATTTTGTGGAATGCATACAAACAGGATAATTCCAACTCAAAAAAATAAGGAGATACGGGGCATCTCAATGGCTCAATTGGATAAGCATCTGACTGTTGATTTCTGCTCAGGTCATGATCTCACGGTTCGTGCAATTGAGCCCTCCGGCGGGCTCTGCGTTGACAGCATGGAGCTTGTTTGGGATTCTCTCTCTCTCTCTCTCTCTCTCTCTCTCTCCCTCGCTCTCTGCCCCTCTCCCGCTCACGTGCTTTTTCTAAGTAAATAAATAAACTTTAGGGGCGCCTGGGTGGCGCAGTCGGTTAAGCGTCCGACTTCAGCCAGGTCACGATCTCGCGGTCCGTGAGTTCGAGCCCCGCGTCAGGCTCTGGGCTGATGGCTCAGAGCCTGGAGCCTGTTTCCGATTCTGTGTCTCCCTCTCTCTCTGCCCCTCCCCCGTTCATGCTCTGTCTCTCTCTGTCCCAAAAATAAATAAACGTTGAAAAAAAATTTTTTTTAATAAATAAACTTTAAAAAGAAAAAAGCCAAGGAGATAAATAGAGCTAGATGGACAGTAAGTGGATAACAAAGAGACAGAATGACATCCAGACCCTGATCTACTAAAACAAACCAGGTATGAACCTGGTACATCTTGTTGTGTCAGAAAGTAATGAAGTGCCAGCCCACAAAATGATGGGGATGTGTTAAAGGGACCAATGAGGGGCAGATGGACATTGTGTGCTTCTAGATGTGACACCCTGAGAAGTTCACAGTGTCACTCAAATAGTATTCTGGAGGGATTGAATCTAATCATAAGGAGACATCAGACAAACCCAAACTGAGCATCATGCCATAAAATAACCAGGCTTGTTCATCAAATATGTCCATGTCATAAAGACAAAGAAAGACTGAGGACCTGGTCCACGTGAAAGGACACTGAAGAGACAAGACACCTAAATGTAATATGTGATTCTGGACTGAATCACAGAAAAATGTCCGCAAGGACGTTACTGAGAGAACTGACAAAATTGGCACAGGGATCATAGGTTAATAAAGGTATTATATCCATCTTAAATTTCTAAATGTAATAACTACACTTGAGGCTAGACACTGGATGTTTGTGTCCCTCCCCTAATTCCTATCTTAACCTAACGCCTAATGTGATGGAATTTTGAGGTGGGGCCTTTTGACACGAATGACACTAGTGCTCTTATAGAAGAGACCTCAGAGGGCCCCCTCGCCCCTTCTGCCATGCAAGAACACAGACGATGGCTGTCTATGAACCAGGGCTCAAGCTGTCACCAGACGACGAATCTGCCAGTGCCTTGAGCTTAGACTTCTTGCCTCCAGAACTGTGAGAAATTAATTTCTGTTGTTTACAAGCCACCCAGTCTATGGTATTTATGTTACAGCAGACTGAATGAACTAAGACAGAAATGTAAGAGAATGCCCTCATTCTTATGTTACACTAAGTAGTAGGGAGACAAATGAATATAAGCTACTCTCAAACGGCTGAGAAACAATAGCATGTGTAAGTAGAGAAGGTGGCAATACAATCTGGAAATGTAGATACTTTTATTTTCTTTACAGACTGAAAATGTCCTTGGTGATATCATGTATATTTGCTATGTTTCCAGACTTTATGATCATCCACAGATAAAAAGAATAAAAAAGGAAGTGTGGCAAAATGTTGAAAACTGGTGGATCTAGGCAAAGAGTATAGGAAAGTTCTTTATTCTTTTTTTTTTTAATGTTTTTAATGTTTATTTATTTTTGCGAGAGAGAGAGACAGAGCATGTGCGGCAGAGGGGCAGAGAGAGGGACACACACAGAATCGAAAGCAGCCTCCAGGCTCTGAGCTATCAGCACAGACCCCGATGCAGGGCTTGAACCCACGAACCATGAGATCATGACCTGAGCTGAAGTCAGAAGCTCAACCAACTGAGCCACCAAGGCGCCCCTGAAAGTTCTTTATTCTTATTGCGACTTTTCTGTAATACAAACTACTTCAAAATAAAAAGTAGAG